AAAAGAATAAAACACTATAGCTTTTTATGAAGTACAGTATATAAGCATATTTTTATATAGTGAGAACAAGCACATCAAAACTTTTCTAAAATAACCACTGGCAAGTTACTAAGTTATGGACATTGCATACAATGTTGACGGTGGAATACTTTGCCTTTTTTATATTTAGCTACCACTACCATCTACTGTATGCACATTAGATATATTTATTGTATGTGAGATCATATTGTTTTCAAGCCACTACAGTACAGTATGTGTGAAATACATTTTTATCTATTGAAATTTAGTTAAATTATCTGATTATTCATAGCTGAAATTTACATTAAGGCATAATATATATTATTTCAATGTGGATGTAAGCCTGAAAGAAGCACATCAACTCACAATGAGCCACAGTAGAAAAATAAACTATTTTTCATATATCAGTTTTGGTTTTGTAACCTCAGTAGATATGGTGAACATAAACTCTCAAAAAGAACTAATTACTAAAACAATAGTGAAGGTTATATCAATTTAGGAAAATATGGCTTAAAGAAGAAAAATGAGAAAGAAGAGAGCACTGTGCAGACTGTATAAAAGGTACATGACTCAAGGTTAGAAAAAGATCATACAGAGATATAGGTGCAGCTGAAAAAATATGTGAAGAGGAAGAAAAAACAGTGTCTTTTATTAACCCAAAAAAGAGCAATTTTGATTTACACAAAACTCATAACTGATGGATGTGACTGTGAAGTAGGGCTGAAAGATCAGGACCAATAACTTTCTCACAGTAACAATACTCCCCAGATTCGTCTTACTCCTCAGATTTAGATTCCCAAACCAGCAGATCAGGGAAAAAGTTAAAGCAGATTAAATAAGAGTGACAAAAACAATTAACAACTTATTACTCTTATAAATGTATTGTTTTTCTTAAGAAATGAGACACTGTAGCCCTTTTTTGTCAAGTAGAATTGACATTTGCCTCAAAATTTAACTTGCAGTCAGAATACTGCAGTATGTGTTGATCAACCATTTCCACTGATTCACTCCTTGCCCAGGTGTGAGTGGGGGGTTTAAGTGTTCTTTCTGAAATCAATTACAATGACTACAAACCATAACCCATAAGACACTACCAGAAAGTTCACAATCTAGATATTAAAGGCCTTTCATGTATACACTGCTGCACCAGCCGCATTGTCTCCAGAGCCGTGCCCCAGCTCAAAGAAACACCCCACCCTCCATGGCCATAATTGTGAACAATGGGAAC